TTCATGCTGGTTTTTTTTATAGAAGAGCTGATGTACACAGCATGATGCTGATGAGCACCTGATGATAAGTGACTACCGCCGCCCATGAACAACTGCAACACCTGAGTAGTTATTGTTTTGAGCGGAATTATACACCCCCCCCCCCCGTGTGTGTTTAATACATAGGTAGCCTGGACGCCCACGCTCAGGAGTGGAGTAGCATGGTCGTGGATGCTCAGCGAGGGATTCTCTAGGGATGCTGGTACCCTCCTGGGGTAGTTTTTGATTTAATTCCGCTACCATGTTGATGGGGGAGGGAGGGAGTAATTGGGCCTCTGGCCTCCTGCACTCACCAGACGAAACGCAGAAGCAGAGCTTACAATTCACGCCCGTATTCCGTGAGGTCGTGGTACCAACCCGGCTCGAGCCGGCCCATACGTGCAAGAGCAAAAGCTGCCCCGTGGCTCTACCACCGTGGGATCGAACTTATCATAGTCTTGCACTGTGACATTATAAGGCGAGTATTCTCGTCTACTGTGGCTCTAAATTTGATATTATTCAATTTTAAAGGTCGTGCTTAAATTGAGGTTAAGTATAAATAAAGGTTTCGAAGAGGAAGGAATGCAGAAGAAGCATGTAGATATAGTACTCGTAGCTGTTACATTTATTGTCAGTAGTGTCGCTAGTGTGTAGTGCAAGCCCTCTATACTGATAACAGTAGTGACTATGACAATATTCTTATGAATGTTTTGCCAATTAGAATGCTCTTGAGGATTTGATAAAATATTGTGTCGTTCTCATAATTAAATGAATTATAAATATTAAAACTTCCAAAAATTTTAATTTTACTTGAATTTTATGAGAAGCCAGTCATACCCAGATTAACCTTTTAAGTAGAATATAAATACACACGTGCTAAGTGTAATAATTTTCTCCTACCATTAAAATTCGCAAACACAATTTTTTAGCTTCAGAGAAACTATTAACTCATAAATAAGTGGAAATTATTTTCAAGATTTGCACGCAGATCTAAAAAAAAGTTATCATTTACCTACGATAAGCAAGTGATATAAAGACTATTATCCCATAGGAAGCTACAGAGTTATGATGTCAAGAACACAGCGTTTAAACTTATTATTTCATATATAAGTAATAGAACGCAGAAAGTTATTATCAATGGTAAAAGTTCTTCCAGGTCATCTGTACTAATGGGTGTCACTAAAGGCTCAATTCTCGGTCCATTCCTATTTCTAGTGTATATTAATAACTTACCTTCCCTTGTAGGGAATTATCATGATATATTTCTAGATCCTTAAACTTTAAAGTTATTTGTTTAAATGTGACGAAGTGAATAATACTATATCAAAATTAGTGCATTGGATTAAAGTTAATAATCTAAATTATAACCGAAATAAAATTAAATGTATTAAATTTACAACAACAAATATCATAAATCTGGATACCAATGTGTTTTTAAATAGAGAAGAACTGAGCCCTGTTGAAACCACCGTTTTTCTTGGCATCACTCTCTAAGGAAAGCTTCAGCTTTATATATCCAAACTAGCAAGCAGACTAAATTTTGCAGCTTATGCTGTAAAAAAGATTAGAGGTCTCACTAGTGTCGAGACAGATTAGTTTATTTCAGTTATTTCTATAGCATTTTGTACTATATGATTTTGCGGATTTAGAAACTATTTTTCTTTTACAGAAGGAGGCCATCAGAGCTATTTACATCCTAAAACCGAGAGGGTCTCTTAGAGAAAAATTTAAGGAAATACATTTTTTGTATGTTCATTTAAACGATAGCTAGAAAAGAAAACTCTATAAAAGGGTTAATATAATATAAATGAATGGTTGATATTAATCTTAAAGAATACCAGCGTAAAATAGCAGCTTAACACTGCTGTGTTTCGTATGGTGATTGTAGAGACCCGGAGGACCTTTTTACTGGAAAAGAGGCATTCCATCTTAGTCCTCACGGGTGACAACGCATCTGCATTTTGATTGAAATGCAAATGTAGGTGTCTATGAGTCACAGCAACCACTTATCATCAGGTGGACTGTGTGCTCGTTTGTCACCCTATCCTATAAAAAAAACACTAGGAATGAGGTGGTCACTTCTAATCTGTTTCTAAAATAAATTTTGTAAATAGTTTGTGCAATATGTAAAATTTACTTTAAAAATAGTTCCGCTGAGTTTCTGGCTGGTACTTTCCAGGACTGAGGTTTTTTTCCGAACCAGTGGTTAAGTAAAAAATGACTTTCAGTAAGAATTACATACATGTGATCTATATTGAATAAAAAATTATTCTATTCTATTCTATCCAACCTGATGGTAAGTGGCAAGGTAGCCGAAGATTCTAAAGTGCACTGGCTTGTTTTTACAAAAAACTCTCATGCACATAGTAATGCCTGATTTCTTCTGACTCTTTTAAAATTTAACATTTGATTATTTTATTAAAGTATTATAAAATAAAATTTAATCAACACAATCAATGTAAAACACCAAATCGTAAAAGTTAATGGTAGAAACAGTGTGCATAATCAATTTGCAGCCTCATTAATATCTTGCAATCTGTTTATGAATAATTGAATCTACGAAAAATTACTCTGCACTCCGATTCGCTAAGCTCTGTCTTATTTACGTTCAATTGCTTGTCAAGGGTTTTAATTTGTCCAAGTGTTTTGTAATAGTAGCGTAAAGATATGTATTTTTATTCGTTTAATAGCTGGCATTTGGTTACAGTGTAAGATAATTTATAACTACATTTCATTCCGGAGCTGTCATAATAGGTGTGTAATAAATGGTACAACGCAACGGTGACAAGAATAAATGCCTGGATGTCATGGCTTCCATTAAAACTATCTCATTTACGTCAAATTTATACGTGGAGAGCCATGCTGCAGCTATATTAGTAGTATAGTTATAGCACGAATGGGTTGACTCGACCGTGGAAGGACCATGCTCTCACAGAATACCAGCGTAAAATAGGAGCTTAACACTGCTGTGTTTCGTATGGTGAGTGTATAGAACCGGAAACCCTTTTTACTGGAAAAGAGGCATTCCATTTTAGTCCTCACGGGTGACAACGCATCTGCATTTTGATTCTTTATTGAGGCTAGATGTAGATGTCTATGGATCATAGCAACCACTTACCATCAGGTGGACTGTGTGCTCGTTTGTCATCCTATCCTATATAAAGAAAAACATGCGTACTGTCGTGGAACACTCGGTTGGAACGAGGTTCCTTTCGTAGTATATTATTAGGTACTTATAAACGTATTACATTATTGATTAATAAATACAAATAAATGAGTTACTAGCGTCTATTAAAATAAAGCGTCATTTAAAATAAAATAATATTTCTTTCATGGCAAGATAAGAAAAAGTTCGAGAGAGATTAATAACATCCATCTCGCTTTCTTATAGCCGCCAAGACCGTCTACACTTCGTCATAAGGGGTCGTGACGGAAAAATGCGGACAAGACGTCACACGACCCGTTACTTTGACACTGCTCCCCGTGTCCTGTCAGTGTATTTTTTTAGTGTATACGCCATATCATACATCAAAATTCTATGAGGTCTGTCTGACCTTATAGCCCTTTTTACTTACTCTATCCACACGATAAGATTACAATTATTACTTACACACAAAGTAAGGTTATTGTTAGTCTATTGTTATCCTTTGATGGACATATAACTATTCGAGAATGTTCCACCAGGCGCAATTTTTAAGGGAGTGTTCACACTCACCACTGCATGCCAATAAGTGAGTACAGAGTAGAGATCTTTACACTGTTGGTGCCCCTCCCGTCATTGAATCCCTTGAATCATATAATATGGAACGTGATAGAGTCACGTCACCGCTGGTTTTTTACTTCAGCACGAATGTGGAAGAACCACACCCTAAGAGAATACCAGCGTAAAAAAGCAGCATAATCTGTTTCGTATAGTAAACTGGAGATTAGCGTGAGGCGTCTTTATCGCAACACCACACAAAAAAAAACACGTTGGAACGGTTGTGTGCAAATAAAAAAAAAAGTCCTGTTCTACGGACGACCAATGTTCGAAAAGTTGCCTAAAATAGATTTTCTACGTTCTTGCTTGGGGATGTTACCTATGATGAAAAGAGATAAAATGCCTATTTTTAATACAAAAACATACAAAAACACAAACATTCCAGTACAATTACCATTGAGGTTGAGTAAGATTAAAAAAATACAAATAATAAATGCAGTATACTATTTATATTTATTTTAAGTCAAGATATTACAGAAAACAAGAAAAAACGTAATCTAACATAGTGGTCACATATGACACGGTGAGTAAGAGTAAGGCCAGCTTAGTCATCTCAAGATGGTGGCGGACGGCGTTTAGATTTGAAATAAGTCTCCTATGTGCTGAAATCCATAGCGAGCGTGGAAGGGGTGCCGTAGTAATTTAGCTCCCGTTGCCTCGAGTAGTATGTGTAAAAAGTAGAGTTACGGCCCTCCACCGCCCAAATACGTGAGCAATCTTGAACTTCCACGCCTAGGAGGCAGATAGTTTGGGCGTGATTCCTTGAGAGTAGATTCTACAGTACTGATACCCTCTACATATAACAGGCACTTTCTTATTTTAAAATTCCTATCGAAACTTGTTGCGAGATAACAGCCTGTTTTGAACAGGCTGCTAGAGCTGTTATTTCAATGGAACAAAAACAGGTGAAACAGGTTTATAACTTAATCTAGTATAGCCTACTCCTACTGGAGATCCTTTTGACTGGTAACGAGTTATTCAGTCCTCTGGCCTTACCTTACTGGCCTGTGGACTATGTATTGGTTTGTTAGTGTTATGTATATAAAGCTTATATACTTAATATAATTTTATTATGATATGTAATATTTTGTGATTGATAACGTGGTATATTATTTATTATAGAATACTAGTGCCAGTAGTAAATGAACAAATTTATGTAAATATAATTGTTTATCCAAATTTTATAGCTTAAAGATAAATATAATTATTTTAATTTAAAACATTAAATTCGGGGAATATCTATCGACAAATCGGAAATGATATATGATAACGCTGCCCAGAATGCAGCACATTCTACAACATTTTCTTTATTTTGTACGTCCATTGTATCTGCATTTGAGTGATGATACCAAAAGTATCGATCATTTTGATTTAATAGTGAAGCTCCAGGTATGCCTTCATTATTAAAAATGGTAATATCGGAACCAACACTTTTACTAACTTTCATTTTATCGATTGGTGTAAATAACTTTAATACTTCAGCTACAATACAACGAGCATTATCTGATCCAGCGACATCTAAGCCCAATGGCTTAAAAGTTCCTTCATCTGATTCCATTATAAAATTTATATCAGAAAGTTCATGTTTATGTTTCTTTAAGTATGCAATAGCTCCAACAAGACCAGGTTCTTCTGATGTCCATAATATTGCTCGTAACGTTCTCCTAGGTTTTAATTTCAGTTTATTCAGAACAACTGGCACATACCAACTTATAAACATACCGCCGCCATCATCCATTGCACCTTGACCAACATCCCAACTATCAATATGCCCTGATACTATTACTAATTTATTTGGATCTTCGCGACCCACTAGATCAACCAATGTATTTCTAGAAATTTTTAAATCAAACGTGCTAAACATACTTATATTTAAAACAATGCTGAGACCCTGATCTTGAAACCTTCTCATTAAATCTGCATCCTCATGGGTTATAGCTGCAGTGGGTATTTTAGTGACATTTTCACCATACCTTTGTGAACCAGTATGAGGTGTGTATAATGAAAATGGTGTAACGCTTCTTATAAGTGATGCTACAGCACCTTTTTCTGAAGCCTTTGAAGCGCCGTTTACCCTATATGCCACAGTTTCACCATAAGAAGAATAGTGAGCGTCAAATACAACAATCTTTCCTTTTATAATATTTTCATCAATTTTGTTTAACTCTTCGAAACTACGTATGACAATGACTTCTGCAGTGATTCCTTCATTAGAAGTATTGACAGTTGGACCAAGTCCTAAGATAGTTATTGGTTTTATGCGAGGTCGTATCATCATTGCAGTTTCATAGCCACGCGTCCAGTGCGGTACCTGGAAACAAATAATATGCAGCTTAGCGTCTATAATATTATTACTTACCTATAAGAATTATTTTGAGTGAGTAATATTATCAATTTTATTATAATATATATATAATCCCACATGTAGTTAAGTTCATAACTTTATTGTTTATGCTTGACGTGCAAGTGATTATTGGCGGGGATCGATCAGAGGACCTAAATACTTAGTCGCAGTATCTTGGTTTCTAATACAAGATAAAGTTTGAATTTGACACATTTATTTAAATACCGATTTTAGTCTTCGGGTTTAGTTGTATGGTGGTTATTCCGGACCCTATAACAAATAGTAAGTATTACAGTGGACATTGATAAGTGCGTGTGCATTCTATGTGTTAGCCGACTACACTTTCAATTACTACTTACAAATACTCTGTCTAAAGATTACGTTCTGTGCATTTGATAGCAGCTAGTCTTTGGCGACTCCCTAGCGTAGTGTCTTTAGAAGCGGTACTATGGAGCCAAGGGTTTGAACTCCGCACTGAACATAAGTTTGTATGGTCGACAAACAATTGGCCACCAGCTTGATATGTGTGAAATTTACTTATAAAAAAGCCCATCTCTATGATACAGGAGAAAATCCTACCGTGAAGGGAACGTTTGTTTATTAAAAAAAGAGTGAGAGAGAATGCTGATATCGTTTCCAAAATTGACCAAATAATTCTGGTCAATTTGATAAAGATTTTTATTATAATTCATATAATCAGTTTTTTATAAATATGCCTGTTTAAGAAACAAATTAAGATTACTAATTTACGTAACTCAAGTTTTTTTATCATAATATTAAATAATTCAAATAAATTTACCTGAACGTCTTCTGTGGAAACAGTTTTAAGACCATGTCTTATCGTTAGGTTGAACATGTGATCTATTGCTTTTTCTAACACATGAGTACCAGATGGTCGAGCTCCAAATTTGTCAATAAAGTATGTATATCTGTAAATTATAATAGAAAATATTTTTATATTTTTTTTGTTATAATTCTTTTCCTCGAAATTTTATGTTTTTTGTTACAAAGTAAAAAATTATACAGAAAATAAAATTATTCATTCATACTACATATAAATCACACCTGTAGTAAATATCATGTAATAAAGTTAGCTTTAGACGAGTACGTAATAATTTAAAATTTAAATTTTTTTACAACCGACTTCAATATAAATTGTTAAGAATAACTCAAAAACTATTGGTACAACCTTAATAAAATTTATATGGAACCAGATGGGAAGCACCAGCTTTCAAATAAAAAAGAGTCATCGAAATCTGTTCACCCAGTAAGAAGTTATGAGGTAACACACATAAAAAAAACATACAGTCGAATTGAGTACCAGCTCCTTTTTGAAGTCGGTAGAAAAGAGCAGGTTCTCAATTCGACTGAATTTGAAGTGAAAACTTCTTAAGGCACGTTGGCCACTTTTGGGATGGGGAAAAGCACTGAACTCGCGTGACAGTCACGCTCAGATACATATTTTATACGGATGTGTGTGTAGTCTTTTGAATTTGGGTTTTCCTTTTTTCAAGTTTTATTAAGTTAGGTATTCATTGATGAACAATATTACTTACTCATTATACATCGATTCACCCATTGTGTTATTTAAGATCTCATACATGATTCTTTTCGCTATATTTCTGTATGATGCTATTTCTTCTACCAGTCCTGGATTTAACGTGCATTCCCTATTGTTATATCTATTTATTGTCGTGTAAGAATAAACACAAAATAGTTGAATGACTATTAAAAAAATTAAAAACACTTTATCCATTTTAACGTACTACACTTAGTCGCGTTAACAAATAAATAGACTCTGGTTAGTCTTATCAATGTGCAAATGGATTAATTTAGAGTACAGGGCAAAGAGTAGGCTACAAAAGTATGAATCGATTTTGCGTTTGCTTAAAATTTTAATATTAGTTTTCATGACGAAATTTTCCTTTTTAAATTAAGGTGTGTTATACATTTCTTAAGTTGATATATACAATTTTTCAGTTTATAATACTGGAAATTAATATTTATAATAATTAATAAATAATATTTTAGTTACTTATTTCATTAAATTAAAATGTTGCTAAACACATAATTTAAAATTAATGAACTTAACGCCTTAGGGCATTTAGTCCAATATACCCACCCTAAAGTAAAGCAGAAATCAACTAACAAGAGCTAAATGAAGTCAAGAGTGTCCGAGAGAGTCTTAGTTTCGAATCCCAGTCAAAACCAACATTTAGGATTATTAAATAAATAATTGGGTTTACAGTATGGATGTGTTATGATTGCCATTTTTCTCATAAATTGCATCCAAGCCTCCTTGTTTAAGTTTATTATCTCTCTTATGTCCATAAATAAATATAAATGAGATTCATCGTTATTGCTCTGGCTAAATGCATGAGTTATATATTAAAGTGGTTCACAGCTGCATCGGCAACCATTTTATTGCTGTTCAGTTTGTATCCTGTCATAGGTTTCCTGTAATTTTCTCTATTTATTTCTCTTTTGAGTTCCTTTCCTACACTTTTGTTTAGCAGCCATAAAAAGTAGGTTTTCAATTCGACTGTATGTTTTCTATGTAACATGAGATATCTTCGTCAATTGTGAACCGATCTTAATAATTATTTTCCTCTCTTATCCTTTCATTCCCATGAAAATTTAGAGAAAAAAATAGGAAGTGAAGTTTTTATGTAACTGTTTAGATGGAAGTTTTATTTTTCAGCTTTTAATTTTCATTAACTTTAATTTTTTTTGTAGATGATCCTCCAGTCTTTTAACTTAATATTTTACCATTCAACTACTCTTTGAGCCCCTTTAATCTATTGTCTATCACTGTCCATGACCAATTACACTACTCAATCATTATTTGTTTTACAATACGCATAAAATATATGTGATTAACCGTTGCAAAATCTCTATTACATGCTGTCTGTATTTTTTTTACATATAATGATCGAATTATATTTTGTACGCAAATAAATATTTTTTTCTCTTGTAGGTTTGTAAAATAACATCGTATCTTATTATTCCATATGGTTTGGGCATGGAGGGGCGTATAACGTATAGTCAATGCGCAGTGGTCGGAATTAGTAGTCACGTTGCATAAGTTGCTGCCGGGGCCCTTATGGCCAAAATGCTGTCTCTAACCCCACCCCTATACTAAATAGAAATGTAAAAGCTCTAGCTCGCTCCATTACTCGCAATTAAGATCTATTGTATAAAAGTAAAAGGCACCAATTTTATCAGAAGAAGCCATAGAAAAGACTGTGCTCACACCACGTACTCCTATTATTCCAAAACAGTTGTAATAGGGTGGTGCCTACAGACCAGATGAACTCCTAAAGTCTAGAAAAGAAGTCTTACTTCTTTTCTAGAACTAGTATAAATATCTATAATTTGTTAATTGATAACATCATCTCTATCATCAATAAAGATAACATTAATAATTTGAAAAACATTGATTTGATGGGAAAATGTCATAACAAATTATAATGTTTATAAATATAATGTTTGAAATGTGTACTAAATGCTGAGACACTGTTCAAACAAGTATTTTGTTTAATAATTTTCGAAGAAAGACCACGGCTAATTTTCGAAGAGACTTTTATACATATTTTCATACATATTTTATAGAGCAATACAGGCGACCGGCGGTCCAGAGAGGAGTCCATAAGTAAACGCGGTCTTAGGCGTAGATTAAAACTATTTGCAACCACACTCTTCACTAGATTAAATTTAGTTGCACGACGTAATCTGCTGCTAAAAGAGATCTGACTTGTAAATTTACAAAAAAGATGGCATCACCTTTCATATGTAAGTATTCCTTATGACATTAGTATTGTTTAATTCCTTTTAATTTTAAAAATTACAATAATAACGGTCGTGTGGTTACAGTCGGTCGAGCGAATGATCTGAGTCTGTATCCAAGTTGTCGCTGTCACCGAGCGATAGTTTTGATAATACTGGTTTTTTAATAGTTATCCCATCAGGGTACATGTATTCTGTGATAGTTATCGATAAAAATGGCAAAGGCCTGTACAGCCATGTCTGTGTGTTTTCTGATTACTTATAATATAATGTGGGAATTATTATAATATAGTTTAATATTAAAATGCTTAAAATAAAATATAATACAATACTTACGAGTATTAATACATTATATTTAAATTACTAAGTGTGAACTTAGTAATTTAAAAAATTACTGTCGCACGGATGGGCCGGCCCAACCGAACCGGGGTGGTACCACGACCTCACAGAATACCAGCGTGAAGTAGAGGTTTACCTCTGCGTTTCGCTTGGTGAGTGCAGGTGGCCGGAGGCCCTTTTTACTGGAAATGAGGCATTCCATCTTAGTCCTCACGGGTGACAACGCATCTGCATTTTGATTCGCAAACGAGGATAGATGTAGATGTCTATGGGCCGCAGCAACCACTTACCATCAGGTGGACTGTGTGCTCGTTTGTCACCCTTACCCTATATATAAAAAAATCGGGGTTTAAGGTATATATGGATGTATATTTTTAACAACAGGTTTACCTGGATTCGCACAAGAAACAGTGTCATTTGCTCAGATCATTTCCAGACTTCTGACATTCAAGCGTTGGCGAACAATAGAAGGCAATAACGATTTTGGTCAAGGGCACCAAGCCAACTCTAATACCACATTGTATTTGTTCCGTAAGTATTTTTATATCATGGAGAAGACAAACTAGCGTACAGTCAACCTGATGCCAGTGCCATGGACATTTACGATCTTAAGGCCAACAAGCCGCTTCAGGTTGTAAATGCGTCGCCAAACCTGAGGACTAAGATGACAGACTAGCATCTTTCAATGCCATTGGTTACACTCTTAATATTCCTGATTCGTTGACATCTGCATGTGCAACATCAACTCCTCCACGTGCGAGTTTCCTTTTAATAGTTTATTGTAGATAACATATTTCTATCTATTGATTTTAAAATACTATGTTGTTTTTTTACTATGCTATTCTGGATTTTATTCCGATTTAACGAGAAATCTCTGTATAGAAAAAAATCGTTGTATAGACAGCGTTTTACAAACTGAAAGTTGTACAAACTAGCATAAAGAAAGAAAAACTGCATAAGCTTCAAAAATATCTGTTAATTTTTATCAGCAAATAAAATTGTTTAAAGCAACATCTACAGTTATCTTCTCTATGTTTTATATTATTTTTATTGAGGTTTTTAGAGGTACATTATTTTAGAGGTTTTCTTGGCAACTTTAAGGTAGAAATCTGGTGAAACAAATGTTAGAAATTAAATAATTCCGAAACAGCGCCATCTATATTGTTTGTTAAGTACTCCATCGACCTGCGAAGCCGACGTAGTTCTAATAGATTTTTTTTTCCACCACTAATATACATTAAGAAAACAACAAAAAATATGTACTTACATCTGACACAATACTATTGTTAGGTGAAAAACTGGTGCCTAAACTAGGCAAAACCTGTATCTTAGGTCACCAGGTCCCCACCTGTAGATATCCGTGGACAAAATAGATAGATGAAGCTACAATAAATGATTTCCTTCGCAATTAAACAATAAAACGAGATTCACATATATTCTAGTTAAAAATGTTGAAAAACCACGTGTGCGTGTGAGTGTGCGTGGGCGCGTGCGCGCGCGCGCTTTTGTGTGTATGTGTGTGTGTGTGTGTGTGTTTGTGTGTGTATGGATGTATGTAGCCCTCTCATAACTTTTGAATAGCTTAACCGATTTGAACGAACTCAGCGCCGTGTTCGAAACGGAGAAATCTCAAATATAAAAAGCTTTTTTAAATAACTTTTAAACAGTTCCAAAATCCAATCAGCTCTTAAGCCCAAATAACCCCGTCGATTGCTGCAAACCGCATCAAAATCACAAAACCAAACAAAGTATTTTTTTTTTCAAATAACTGAAATTTCTCACCGGATCGTTTTTGATGTAACAAATTGTAGAATTTGAAGCGCTTTGCATTTGAAATTAGCAGGAAATTTCACGGTTGGCCTATAGGGTCAACCGTATTTTTTTATAGGATAAGGGTGACAAACGGGCACACCGTCCACCTGATGGTAAGTGGTTACTGTGGCAAATGCGTTGTCACCCGTGAGCACTAAGATGGAATGCCTCGTTACCAGGGAAGAGGATCTCCGGTTCTCTACCTTCACCGTATGAAACATTAAGCTGCTATTTCGCGCTGGTGTTCTGCGAGAGCGTTGTCCTTCCCCGGTCGAGCCGACCCATTCGTGTTACAACTACACCAGTAATAAAGCTCCAGCATGGCTCTATCACGTACCACGTGTCAATGTAGTTGCGTCAGTTCATTACACTATTACGACACTAATTGTACTATGCCTATACAATCTGATGAACGGTATGGCAAGGCATAAAATGCGAACAAACAAAATTAATTTTTATTTATCAGATGCGTTACGTGCTGTTTTCGAGAGTCATTACGAATCGTCTCGTATGCAGACTTGACGACATCCAGCCTCCCGAACAAGCCGGTTTTCGAAACTATTTTGCTTTAGCACCATAGACCACATACATACCCATCGGCAATTTGTACAGAAGTCCGAGGAGTACAATTTGCCACTATATCTGGCGTATGTGGACTATAAGAAAGCCTTTGATTCCGTAGAAATTCGGGAGGTGCTGCAGTCCCGTCGGCGGCCGTGGCGTTTGCGGTACCAAGTTGACTGTCGGTATATCGAAGTGCTGAAGTGCTTAAACAGTAGGGCTACGATAGCTATCCGAGTATAGAACCAGAGTACGAAA